AAAAAAAAAATAATAAAAGATGGTACATGAATAGTTACAATTTTTAGACAAATATATGAATCTCAGTCTACATGATGAAACTTCAGGATGGTCATTTCAGAAGAGCATTAGCTCAGTGATACTTTTATATTTTGGAGACTTAAAGATGTTTTCTATGTTAGGACTAATGCGGCACCTGCTAGTCCTCTGCTTGATTAGCCACAGTGTCTGCCTCCTTTCTGAGTCCTTTGAAGACTGTATTCAGAGGGAAAGCAGGAATAAAGAGCACGTTGTGTCTGGGTGATGAGTGATGTGGGAAGGGGTTCCATATATCCTGAAAGCGGAGCAGCCTGCTGGCCAGGCTTTCGGTGGCCCCTCATAGCCTCACATGGTTTCCTGATCTTTCATAGGTAAAATTTATAAAGATCGTGTGGAGTTTTTAAGTTGTCCTTCACTTCTATTGTTCCGGTGCAGTATTCAATACTATTCATTCTTTTTCTGATCTTCCCTGCACTGTAAACAAGTGGATTGGTTACATATTATACATATAATAGTTGACTCTCTGGAACTGCGTATTACAAAGTAAATGAAAGGAGAGGTAGGGAGGAAAATGTGTGTGAACAAGTGAGTAAAAAAATAATTATTTTTGTAAACTTTCACTAAAATCATACTTAAAAAAATTAAAAGGCAAAAATATATTCTATGGTGTTATAGTTCCCTTATTTTAAAGATCTTGCCTTTTAGTTATTTTATATTTTTTTATCAGATTTTTGGTCTATATTTGGTTCATATAATGCCTTTTATACTACATAGAAATATATTTCATTTTATGGTATTTATTAGTAGATATTTGGAGTGTAGTTTGTATTAAGCAGATGATCTTACACTGTATTTGGTTTTCTTTACAGTTTTCGTACAAGCAAAGGAGTGGGTTATTCCGCTCATTTTGTTGGTAACTGCTTAATAGTCACATCACTGAAATCCAAAGGAAAAGGCTTTCAGCACTGTGTGAAATACGACTTCCAGCCACGCAAGGTAGGTCCAAGCAGATGTGTGTTTGGATGATATTTTAGTTTCTTAGTGATACTGTAAGGCCACAAGGGGTGTTTTTAAGGAATAGAAATAGACTTTTGCCAAATTTAAGAGACCAGAAGTTGGAGTTCAGGGAACAAGCCTCTCTCTGTGTTAGCCCTGGAGTCTTGTTTACTTTTCCGTTTCCATTCCTTGCTAATCTCCTTGATGCTCTGTGTGGCCTGGAATGGGTAGCACTGCATCTTTGTGTCCTTGCTTCTGGACCTGATCCGCTGTCCTCAGCATCACGAAAGGACCAGGCCTTCCCTACGTGGATGTGGTCTTCTTAGCAAAACAGAGAGAGCCATTTCCCCACATGGAATCACAGCCAGGAGCATAAGGCTGAGATGTAGAACACACAGTCGTTGAGGTCACTGTTCAGTTTGTAGCAGGGACACACGTCTTCCCTTACTTCAATTTCTCTCTCTCTCTTTGTATTTGCTCGTTTTCTTAAAAACTCATATATTTTGTGAAATACTGAAGTAAATACTCATTTGGATGTTTTATGATTTTGATAAGAAATGTACATTCTGTTTCAAGTATAATACTAGTAGTTCTAATTAAAGAATATTACTTGAAAAATAATTTCTTAATATCTTCTTGGAAAATAGTTTTGCAAGTAATAAATAAATATTTCTAAATAAATTTGACTTTAGAATGGGAATCCTTGTTTTTTATGTCAAATACCGTAATCGTTACCCGTTATATACAATGTTTGGAAGAGCTTCCAGATTGATTCATGTTGGGAAGCAGGAGTGGCATCCACTTCCTAAACTAGGTGCCTCTGGAAACTCTACAAACTCTCTTATAAATGTACAGAAATGATGTTAATTATAGAACAGAGTTTAGGTCTTTTGTGCAAAGCTTATTCTGAGTTGTATTCGACTCAGCAATATTTAACCACTGCCAAATGAGACTAGTGTTGTTATATCTGAAGGAACATTCTTCGACTCTGCACATCACTCTTTGTCATTGTGCTGTGTGAAGTAATCTGGGTTAACCTTGTGCCGTGGGGATAGCAAATACCATAATAGTTTCCCATTGTGGGCTGTGTTTGGTGGAGCACCCGGGGTAAAACAGGTTTGGAAGCAGGAGTGGCATCCACTTCCGAAATAGATTGCCTCTGGAAACTCTATCAACTTGGAGAAAGGATGAAAGTTATACAAGTGTTCAGGTCTTTTGTTCATAGAGGTGCTTTAAGTCGACCTCGACTCGATGGCAACCAATAATAACAACAGTAACAACTATTGTTTTTTAGCATTTTGTTATGTTTTAAGTGAAAGCTTAAACAGTATATTAGATTCCCACCAACCGTTCCTGTCCCTGCAGTGTTAACACTTCCCCACCCCTTTCTCATTTCCAGCCCTCTAGTTTCCCTGGCTCTCCTTGCTTGCTTCTTTCATTTCTAGCCCTCTACCTTCCCTACCTCTCCTTATTTGCTTCTTTGAGTTTGGGAGAACATTGGACATTTACCTCCTGTAGTACAAGTCAGGACTCATTTGATCGCACTGGGGTTTTTGCCTGTTTACCTTTACTGTTGGGCGCTGTCCAGTCAGAAATGACCCATGGCTGGCCCTACAGTGGATTTTCAGAGGCAGTAAATTACACAAGAAGAGATTACCTCTCAACCTCCTGTCCAGACGGTAATAGTGGGCATAATTCAGTGGTGATTAATTTTTTTAAACTTTTTAGTGTACATTTGTTTGCTTACAAAGGTTGTATACATCATACTATCCTTCATTCATACAATCATTCCCATTCAGTATGCTTTGTAAAACTAATCACCACTGAACTATGCCCACAGTTCCCCTCTGGGTCTTTTCCATTTCCTTTACGGCCCCCTCCTTCCACCCATCAAATTGTGTGACCCTATGATTTCCCCGCTCCCATCCTCACCACTCTGTTCCCATCCTCCCCACAATGGTGATTAATTTTATAAAACATAATGAATGGGAATAATTGTATGAAACACAATGCAAATGAAGGATAGTGTGAACCACAATATATATGAACTTAGTGAGCAAGCCAATATAACATAAAAATTAAGAAAAAAAACCCCACAAAAATCGTACACCAAAAATAATCAGGACGAATAAAAAAACCCCAGTCTTCCTTTGAGCAGGTGGTGAGTTTAAACCGTATGTCTTCTTACCACTAGTCTCCCAGAAAGCAGAGGAAAACTCATGCTCTGAGGTGTGTCTGTGCTTTGTTAGCTGTGAATGTTGCCGTTGCAGTGCATAGACTGTTTCTTACTCATTCGTACTCATTCTTCACTCCGACCATTCCATTTCGTTCTCTCTTTGTGACTTCTTCCTCAGTAGCTTTCTTTTCCCATTTGCTTTTCCTTTTCCCTAGACCTTCTTGTGGTCTTTACCACTTTTTGGTCCTATATCTAGGTTTTAAGCAATTTTCATGCTTTTCCCAAAAATTTAATTTCTATGCTTTCATACTTGTTTACGTGTCTGTTTCTTTTAGCTGCCTTTGTTTATATGCCCCAACATAGGAGAGACTTCACATGCACTAACCTTTTAGTAAGTTTTGTCTGAATGCATGACAGTGAAGAGTTAACAGAAGTTTAGCAGAAATAAATTTCATTACCTGTGGGCCATGAGTAAACTAGTGTACAAAAATAAACTTTGTTAATGATGTCTTTTTGTAGATGCTTAATGTGTATCACAAACTGTTCGCCATAGTTTTGTACGTTGCCATTATCCTCATTATTCACAACTTCCCCCAAAGTGCACCTTATCACCACCCTCTTTTTATGATAATAGTTTCCGAGATGCTAAATGAGCTACTGAGAATCATAGGCTTTGCAATTGGGCATGTAGTTCATCTCTCAATGCATTTGAAGTCCATCTGCTCAGTATTCTAAATTATCTGGTACTTAGAAGCCAAAACACAACAGAAGTGGTTTAGTGATTGCTTTTCTAACTGAGGTATCTCAGTGGGTATGAGGGAGCTCTGGTGGCCTGGCTGGAAGGACTTGTCAGTGCATACCAAGGACAACCATGAGCATAGCTAACACTATTGCTCTGAAATCTCTTCAAGTTGGAAATCTTTATTTCATTTCTAATTTCTACCTCCAAATTGTTTAAAAATTATCTCTTTGGTATTATCTAGAAGCTGCTCTGTTGACTATTTTCAAACTCGTAAAGATAGTTCTGTGAGTTGTAATTCTTATACAGGGAAACATCATAATGGTTTATTTAAGAGTCTGGTTTGTTGTTGTTTTTTTTTTTTTTTCTTCTTGATACTTTGTAGATTTAAAAATAAAAAATATGAGTTGTTAAAGGTATGTTTGATGGTTCTCTTCTTATTTAGGGCTTATATTATTTATAGTTTTCTGATCAAATGAATATCTTAGTTTATAATAGACTTAAAGATTACCTATAACAAAATGTCCATTAAGTCAAGTTAAATACACACACACACACACACACACACACACAGTCACTGTATTTGTAAAAAATATTTACAATAAAAATCATTGATTTTACAATATTCTGCCATCCGATCTCCAGTCTTATATCTGTCAACAAGGCCACATTTTCCAACTCCCAGTTCTTTTGTCTTCAACTTTTGCATACCAGGCACTAATTATTATGAATGCATCTTGACGGCAGTCAACAACAACAACAACATCTTGATTGTACATTGGGACAATATCAGACTGCAGAAGTTGGTAGAAATCCTAAAGTTCTTTATCATTGGCTTTTGTGCTTAATGATCTACTTGAATAGTGGTTGTATGCTTACAGATAGTATCTTGTTACTAATAGCATTTTACTTCAGGATGGATCGCAAAATATACAGAAATCCAATTGATGATTTTGTGAAAGGAGGTGTCAGAGAAACTCAGTATCAAGCATTCAGAACCAGACCAGGGATTGATTGTCGAATAGACTTCAGCTCTTCTATGGGCAAGTTCAGGAACTATATACAAGTTCAAATTGAAGTTGAAGAAAATGAAAAGTCCACATGACCCAAACTATGACCTTGAATTTATCCCACCTGAACTTAAAAACCATTGTAAGCATAGGTTTGATGCACTGTACTCTCTCATAATGCAGACAAGTTGTGGGGAGACATGAAGGACATCATCCATGAAGAAAACAGAAGGTCATTATAAATACAGGGAAGAAAGAATTGACAAAAAATGACTCTGAAATTTGCGTTGGAACAAAAAGAAGCCAAAACAAAGGGAAAGGTTGCTGAGGTAAGAGAGCTGAACAGGAGATTTCAAAGGGCAGCTTGAGAAAACAGTACAAAGTATTAAAATGAAATATGAAAGGAGTGGAACTTAGAAAACGGAAAAGGAGGAACGTGAATAGCATTTCTCAAGCTGAAATAAGTGAAGAACAACTCTAGGTTGCCATACTGAAGGATTCGGTGAAAAAAACGTGAATGATGCAAGGGCATTAAAAGAAGATGGAAGGAATGCAGAGTCACTGTACCAGAAAGAATTGGTCAACCCAGAACCATTTCAGGAAGTAGCCTATAATCAAGAAACAGTAACACTGATGGAAGAAATCCAAGCTACACTGAGGCATGGGGGAAAAATAAGGCCCTGGGAAGTGATACTGCTGGGAGTTGTCCAGGAACCGTGAATGTGCTCATCAGTCTCTGCCAGAAAATATAGAAGGAAGGTACCTGGCCAGCTGACTAGACGATAGTTGTAATTGTTCTGTTCCCCAAAGTGCTCCAACAGAATATGGAAACAGTCCACCAATAATTCATATCCCAAGCAAGTAAAATCACCCTTCAGTCTTGATAGCATATTATTCATAGATTCCAGCTTCCCAAGCAATTTGCTCAGCATACAGATTGAGTAGTACAGAGAGAGGATACAGCCCTGACCCACGTCCTTCTTAAGTTTAAGCCATGTAATGCTCAACACCAGGAAAACAGAGATTCTCACCACTGGGCTGATTGGCAGCATCATGATAGATGGAGCAGGAAGCTTCAATTTGCTTGGCTCCACAATCAACACTCTTGGTGCTAGTAGCCAGGAAATCAAAAGATGAATTGCATTGGGAAAGTCTACTGTCAGAGACCTCTCCAGAGTACTGAAGAGCAGTGATGTCAGTCTGGAGTACGTGATCCACGTCATAGTCTTTACAATTGTTATGCATCAGAAAGCTAGACAATACTAGGGATGATAGAAAGAGAATTGATGCCTTTGAGCTATGGTGTTGGAGAAGAGTGTTGAATATACCATGGATTGCTAGGAGAACAAACAGGTTCGTACTAGAGAGGGTGAGACCAGGCTGCTCCTTTGAGGCAGTGATTCTGAGGCTTCATCTGACATACTTTAGGCATATTGCATGGAGGGACCAGTGTCTGGAGAGGGATATCATGATTGGGAGGGTGTAGGGACAGTGCAAGAGACCCTCAATGAAATGGATTGATCCAGTGACTGGCGTAATGAGAGTAGGTGTATCAAAGACAGTAAGGTTGGCACAAGGTAGGGCAGGGTTCAGGTCTTTTGTACATAGGGTCTCTATGAGTCGCAAGCAACTCAATGGCACATAACAACAAGAATAACAAGTGTTCCCTTGCTCTGTTCACACAGAACATATCTTGGTCTAGATATAGGCTTTATATGAGCACAGTTAACCTCTGGGATTCCTGTTATTCTCAGTGTTAGCCATAACTTGTTAGGATCCACAAAGTCAAATGGCTTTGTATAGTCAATAAAGCATAAATAGACATAATTCTGGTATTCTTTCAGCCAGGATCTATCTGCCATCAGCAGTGAGATCCATGGTTCCATGGACTCTTCTAAATCCTGCCTGAACTTCTGGAGATTCCCTATCTATGTACTGTTCTAGCCCTTTTTGAATGATCTTCAGAAGTTTTTGCTTGCATGTGATATTAATGATACTGTTTAATAGTTTGCACATTCTTCTGGGTCGCCTTTCTTGGGAATGGGAACAGATATGGACCTTCTCCAGTTCATTGGCCAGACATCTGTTTTCAAATTCCTGACATAGACTGGTGAACACATCCAAGGCTGCATCTGTTAATTGAAACAAGTCATTTGATATCCCGTTGATTCCTGGGGCTTTATTTTTTTGCTAGTGCCCTCAATGCAGCTTCACTTTCCTTATTTTACCATTGGCTCCTGCCCATAGGGTACTTGCTGAAATTTTTTGGGTCAGTCACTTCTTTTTGGCACAGTGACCCTGTGTATTCCTTTCTTCTCTTGATGCTACTTGGGTCATTCAATAGCATTTATCAGTGTTGCGACTTGAGGCTTCCATTTTTTAGTTCTCTCAGCTTGAGAAATGCGAAGTGAATTCTTCCCTTTTGATCCTCCAGTTTCAGCTGTCTGCACATTCTAGTACAATGCTTTGCCTTTTCAGGTTGCCCTTTGAAGTCTTCTGTTAGCTCTTTGACTTAAGTATCGTTCTCCTTTGTTTTCACTTCTTGACATTTTAGTGCAATTCTCAGAGTCTCTTCTGACACCCATTTCCATTTTTTCTTTTTCTTACGTATTTGAAATGAGCTTTTTCTCTCTTCATGGATGATAGCCTTGATATCATTCCAAAACTCAGCTGGTCTTCAATCATTGGTGTTCAGTGCTTTAAACCCTATTACTAAAATGATTTTAAAATTCAGATGGAGTAGATTCAGGATCATATTTTGGCCTTGTTTTAATTTTCTTCAGCCTCAATTTGAATTTGCACATGAGTAGTAGATGGTCTGACCTACATTTTGCCCGTAGTATACTTTGGACTGCTGATATTTGCTTCTCTCAACGTTTCTTTCCACAGATAATGTTATTGTTGTTTTTTGCCATTGAGTCAAACACAGCTCAGCAAACCTATGAACAAAAGGCCTGAAGCCTTTCTGTAACTATCGTCATTTATCAAAATTCATAGAATTTCCAGAGGCATGTTGTTTAGGAAGTTGATACCACTCCTGCTTCCAGATTCCACAGATACAGTAGTCTGATTTCTTTGTAGCCCATCAGGTTAGGTCCATGGGTAAAGGAACCATTGGTGTTTTCTAAAAAAAGGTATTTGGAATGACTATATCATTGAAAATAAAAAAATCAGGCATTCTATTTCCAGCCTCTCTTCTGTCACCCAGTAGATCATCTTGATTGCATGTTCGGTCAGTTGCAGATGCAAGATTTGGCTCTTAGTAGGAGTATATGTTTGAATAATGGTTGTATTAACAGGTCTTCCTTGTATGAATGTGGATAATGTCCTGTCACTCACAACATTGTATTTCAGATAGAACTTGAAATTGATTGACTTTTTGACTATGAATGCAATGCCATTCTTTTTCTGATTTTGATTCCCAGCATAGTACACCATGTAATTATCTTACTTAGAGTTCCCAAAGCTTATCCATCTCATCTCATTAATACCTAGAATGTTGATGTTCAGGCACACCTGTTCATTTTCCACCTGTTCAGTGTCTCATTTTCGAACATTCAAGCTCTATACCTTCCATATTCCAGTAATTACAGGATGTTTGCCATTATTTTTCCTCATTCTGACTTCCTCCCAGTCTGGGCTCTACCAGCAGTATTATAACTATCTCTGTTCTTCTACTTTTCATTTTAATAGTTTGGACTTCTCCAAGTTATTGAGGAGTAGTGATGTCAGTTTGAGGGCTAAGGTGTGTCTGAGTCAAGCCATGGCATTTCTGATCACTTGCTATGCATCTGAGAGCTGGACAATAACTAAAGGATGACTGAAGAAGAATTAATGCCTTTGAGCTGTGGGATTGGAGAACAGTGCTGAACATCCCATGGACAGCCAAAGAACAAACATAAATCTTGGAGAAAGTGCATCCACAGTGCTCTGTGGAGGCCAAGGTGCTCAAGCTTTGCCCACATACTTCAGGCATGTTGATAGGAGAGGCTGTCCTCTGTAAGTGGACATCATCCTTGGAAAAGAAGGGCTTTGGCTGTGGAGAGGAAGCCTCTCAATCAGCGAGACTGACACAGTGACTGCCCTAGTGAGGTCAAGTGTGTCAGAGATTGTGAGGATGGCGCAGGAGAGGACAGAGTTCAGATCTGCTGTTCACAGGGTCAATGGGTTGGACTTGATGGCACCTGACAACAACTGTCTGATTTTTCTTTCTTAGTAGATGTGGCTGTATTTGTTTAAATACTTGTGTGTAACTTGTGTTTTTAAACATTTTAATCTTCTTTGGTTTAGACTATAAACTCCAAAATGACTAAGGGTTAGATTTAGAAATTGCTAAAGAGAATATACGTTCTCGTTTCCAAGTAGACATGATGAAAATAGCAACTATGTGAACACATAATAAATATTGACATATTTGAAAGTTAAATTATACAATAATACTTAGTTTTAAGAAACCTATTTTATAAAATATAAACCTTACTTCAGATGCTGAAATGCTATTCTGTTAGATCATGAAATCCAAATTAGAACCCCAGGCTATCTTTTCTCAGAAATTATCATGATTTATACATCTATTATTTTCTTAGTGACTAATGTATGTTATCTTATGAAATAAAAATTTTGGTGACAGCAAAATTTCAGTTTGACTGGCCACTGGGGTATTTGAGGTGTATCAATCTTGTTGACTCACCAAATGAACACAAATAACTTTGTATGTCCAGTATATTTTGGTGTTGATGTAGCAGAAACAGTATCATTTAGGGAGGGTCAAGCCATTTTAGTTCTAACTCTGTCATAAATTTATTGTTACTACCAGTTTTTTCAAGGCCTCAAACCTGTTCCTGAGATGGTTCTGAAATTCAGGTGGGATAGACTCACAGTCATATTTTGGTTCCCTTGGATTTGGTTTCATTTTCCTCAGCTTCAACTTGAACTTGCATATGAGTAGTCGGTGGTCTGTTCCACAGTCAGCTCCTGGCCTAGTTTTCACAGCTGATATTGAGCTTCTCCAGCAGTTCTTTCCGCAGATGTAATCGATCTGATTCCTGTGCATACCATGTCTCTTAAAAAACGTATTTGCTATGAATAAGTCATTGCGCAAAATTAGATCATTGTCTCTCCAGCTCCATTTCTGTCACCAAGTCCATGTTTTCCAACTACTGAGTCTTCTTCTCTGTTCCCAACTTTTGCATTCCAGTCACCTAATTATTATCAGTGCATCTTGATTGCATGTTCGATCAATCTCCGATTGTAAAAGTTGGTAAAAATCTTCTATATTCTCTTCCTTGGCTCTGGTTGTTGGTGCAATAGTACATAGGGTTGCTATGAGTCGCAAGCGACTCGACGGCACATAACAACAATAGCAACAACCAATTTTTTCAACTGTAACCTTAGAGGCTGGAGAATGAACTTAAGGAAAGGGGAATAAATTATCACTAATACTCTTTTAAACATTTCTTTATAGATTTATTCATGGTTTCAATTCTATCTGAAACTTACATTTTGATGCCTTTCATTTTCTTCCCCATTTAAGTGGTATATGATCAGCATTGTTCACATTTACAACCGATGGAGGAACAGCGAAATCCGGTGTTATGTGAATGGACAGCTCGTTTCCTATGGTGACATGGCTTGGCATGTTAACACAAATGATGTAAGTCTTATTTTTTTAAAAATACTCATCTTACTGTGTCATTGCCCGTGTTTGTCATTAATCGTCATATGGATTAAATACCAAATAGTTCTGTACAATCTGAGAATTTTACTTTGAAAATTTGTTTCCTTTTATTAAGAGCGTTTTAAAGTTATCAATAGTGAAATTTCTAGGATTTATGATTTAGTGTTACTAGATACCATAATTAAAAATATAAAAATTATGGAATTATATGGCTTACTTATCAAGTGTTTTAGGTCAAAAAGCATTTATTTGGGATCTCTATCATTAGAAACCAGCAGTCAGGAAAACAAAAGACAAATTGCATTGGGAAAATATGCTGTCAGGAACCTCTCCAGAGTACTGAAGAGCAACAGTGTCAGTCTACAGACTAACGTGCACCTGATCCGGGCTGTGATCTTCACAATTACTTGTTATGCATCAGAGAGCTGGGTGATAACCAACGATGACAGAAGAAGAATCAATGGCTTTGAGTTTTGGTGCTGGAGAAGAGTATTGAACATACTGTGGGCTGCCAAGAAAACAAATAGGTCTGTCTTGGAGAGGGTGAAATCAAGTCATCTCTGGAGGCTAGGGTTTTGAAGCTCTGTCTTACATACTTAGGGAATGTGTCCAGGAGAGACTGATCCTTAGAGAAGGACATCATGCTTGGAAGGGTGGAGGGACAGCACAGGAGAGGAAGACCCCTAATGTATCAGAAACAGTGAACCTGGCTCAGAACAGGGCAGGCCTCAGAGCTGTTGTACATGGGGTTGCTGTGAGTCTCAGTTGACTTGACAGCACATAAAAGCGTCAACAGCAGCATTACAGATAGCATTGCCCAATGGGCTTTCCGAACCTGCAGTCTTTCCCAAAGTAGATTGCCTCTCCTTTCCCCATGTAGCTCTGGTAGCTCTGAACTATTGACCTTTCGATTAGTTGTAAAGGAAATACTAACCTACACCAACCACTGCACCATTAGGTTTTCTAATCTTGAATTATTGTACCTTTTATTCAGGCTTGGAGATTTAATGAGACATTTCTGCCCTTGTATTGTCAGACTTTTTTGTCATAGAGGGTCTCTGTGCTTATATAATGTCTTGCTTGTTAATAATGTGAGATGGATTTGTTTGTGGAGCAGGCGGATACTGGACACTGATTCCCTGGTCTGAGTGGGGGAAGAGCACCTCCTGCTGGCCTGGTTCTGAGGTATTGATCACTGCACATGAGTGCCCAGGCCACCTGTTTTAGGCAGCTGGCTTGATGATCTGTGTGCACTGGGTCCCATTGATATGCTTCATTTTACAGTGAAAGGCCTGCACCCTCTTTGTGTGTTTAACATAGTGCCAGAGACGAAGAAGGGCATATCCATAAGAGAGAAGTAAGAAGACTTTTAAAAATGGGGCCCAAACGCAGAGGGTGCTGTGACATAGTCTGCCGGGACCTTCGCTGCTAACTACAGTTGGTGCCTCTCCAGCTCTCTGAATCCAGAGACACTCTCTAGAAAAAGGGTGGGCAGTACACTCTTGAGGGATTTACACCCTTTGAGGATCTGCTGGCAGGTCGGCTGAGTTGGTTCTGACTTCACAGCAAGGAGCTTTAGAGTTCCAGGTGCTGGTGGTTACATTTTGGACTAGGTCGTCCCTTTGAGGGGCCCTCATGGTATTCTAGGTAAAGCCTTCTGCTGCTGACTAACCTCCCAGCTGGCATTTGGAAGCTATAAGCATTCGGCTTCCATAAAGACCCCAGCCTTAGGAACTTCATTGGCGTCCATGCTTTCTTACATGGTTGCTGGGAGTAAGGATCAACTGAATGTCTTGGTTTTTATTTTTGCTTTTGATGAATAAATAAAATTTGGCAAGGGTTCTAGTGTGAAGATGTAGTAGGTTATTCTTTGCTAAGACATAAATATATGTTCTTTAACTCACCATATTTTTTTCTACAGATCTTTAGCTAGCTTTGATTCAGATTGCCACAGCACATGCTGTTCTTGATGCTTGCTATGTTCATGTGGGTGTTATACTTTGAGATTCGTGGCAGAGAAGCAATGCAGCTATAACATTCTGTCATTACAAAATGATGTGTTTGATTTTTCTTTCTGCATACAGAGCTATGATAAGTGCTTCCTTGGGTCTTCAGAAACTGCTGATGCCAACAGGGTGTTCTGCGGTCAGCTTGGGGCTGTGTACGTGTTCAGTGAAGCCCTTAACCCAGCCCAGATATTTGCCATTCATCAGTTAGGACCTGGATATAAGGTAGACATGCTTTTCATTCTTTTGAGTCTTTGGACACTTTACAAGTGAAATGTGACACAGGAACATTTAGTGCATTTCTTTCCTCCTCATAGTTTAGAATTTGTTTCTCTTTCTTGGAACTGTCCAATTTTTTTTATTATATATTTGATTTTATTTCAAAGGTGATTTTTAAAGTCTTTTCCCTTCATGAAATTTTAATTTTTCCAAATATTTTATTATGTGGAGGCGAGGCATGCATTTCAAATATGAAAGAATAAATATTTTAAGAGTATATTTTAATGCCATTTTTTAAACTATAAAATATTAAAATTTATTCTTTGTCTAATAAAAATATAAAATGATTTGTTAGGACAGGAGTGAAAGGTAAGTTGGAAGAATATTTAAAATTCAGAATGAGATATGGCATAAAATATGTGTGGCTTCAGTCTTTGAACTTGAGCATTTGGCTTTGTCTCTCGGAGTTCAGTGGGACAAGTGGAAGCAGTAATAAGAATCCTTATTTTGCCAAGATTGGAACGTATGTGGAATTTGTGAGACAAATGAGTACAGAGAGGCTGATGCTAGAGCAGGAGAAGGCAGTCTGAGGATGGGTCCTGTAGGTCTCAGAGCCAGGAAGGAGCTGAAAGACCCAGTGAACAGACTGTGGGCCCACTCAGGGGAGGAGCCTGGGGGTTCAGGCCAGTGTGAGTAGATGCAAACCCTTATTGCCATGTGCCCAGTAATTGATGTACAAATGAATGACAGTAGTGGTACAGAAATACCCCTAATGTAACTTAAATGACAGAGGAAATAATAACTGCTGGCTAGTGATTTGTTAATTTGGTTTGTTTCTTAGATGGTTTTGTGCAGTAGGTTGGCCCAGTGTAAAATATGGTTTGATTTCTTGACTTGTGCCCTTGTGAGCATTGATTAGGAATCCAAATATCTCAAATTTCTGGCACTTCTAGTATTTTTTTCTGCTTATTCTTTAAAAAACGACAGTGAGAATGGCACAGGGTGGGTGGGGTTTAGTTGTGTTTTATAGAAAGTGTGCTGTAACTGAAAACTGACCAACACTTGAGGAGGAGAACAAAGGCATTGCTTAGTAATAGTATCATTATGTTAAATGATAAATAGTATCATTATGTTAAATGATTTTGTTTTGGATATTAAATTGTGCCCATGGTGTTTTCCTGTTGTTTCCTAATTGAAGCATTGCAGTCATTATAAGCATGTTTGCTATTAATCTTAACCTGAAATATGCTATTATGATAACATTATCAACTTGATAGGTTTAATTGTCTTCCATTATGTTCAAGTGCTGATGTCACCATGTGCCGTGGCAGTTTCTGTGCATAGCTGTTCACTGAATGTTAGCATGCTTGTGACTGTGATCTTTTGTCTGTGCATTCTTACTTGATAAGGGTTGGGGTAATAGGCAGTGCATGCAGTTGGATAAAATCCAGTAATAGAGCAAATATTTCTTTTATTCAAGGTACTATGTTAATATCTTTGGATTTAAAATGGACAAATTAAGGCTCATCCTCTGTATGAGACTATGATTATATATTGAGATGTTTATGATTAAACGTATTTATTAAAGACGGTGTATAATGCTACTGAAGTTTTGAGATATAATGATTATTTTTATCTATACAGGATTTTTTAAACTATCATAGAGAAGACCTATTTTTAGGGGTTCTTGAAGCAGAAATAGACTTTAAAGGGGAAGCAGAAGATGATAATAGAATTTGAGATACTGAGTGTTATCCAGGGGACCTAAGCAAAGGAATCAAGCGTGCTGGTCATTTACTGCTCATTATGGCTCGATGGTAGAATACAGAATAGCAGGGGTGATTTATAGTGATACTTGATAAAGATTATGATAGTAATAAAGTAGTAAATCTTTAGAAACCAAAGTAATAAATTTGCACTTTATTTTCCAGACATAGTATTATTATCAGAGGTTTCTCGTAAGAGAATGGATTGATTATATTGATGTGTTTTAGTGGATAAGTTTAGAAATACAAATAGTAGAATTTAAATGATTAATTTTTTACTGACTCTAGATGCTTTGTTTATCTTCGGGGAAGATTTTCATGCATTGTATAGCTTGCACCATTCTCTCAGTTTTCAACAAGATCTAGGATCTGTTACTATTACAGTGGCATTTCCGTGTTGCATCAGCACCGTTTCTTCTTTAGGAGTTGTGGAGAGATTCCTAGGTTTTGTTGTGTGTTTATGTGTGTGTGTGTCTATGAATTTATGTTGTTAGGTGCTGTGGAATCAAGTATGACTAACAACAGATCTGACTCTTGCCTGGCCTGTGCCATCCTCACAATCTCTGACACACTAAAGCCCGTTGCTGCAGGCACTCTGTCAATCCATCTGATTGAGGGTCTTCTCTGACACTGACCCTCCACCTTTCCAAGCATGATGTCCATCTCTAAAGAATAGCTTAAAATTTGTGAGACAGAGCTTTATCATCTTTGCCTCCAAGGTGCACTCTAGCTGCACCTTCTCCAAGACATAATCTGTTTGTTCTTTTGACAGTCAGTGAGTATTCAGTGCTCTTTTCCAGCATTACATCTCAAAGGTATGAATTCTTCTTCTGTCATTCTTATTCATTCTTATTCACTCTCCACTCTCAGTAGCATAGCAAGTGACTGAAAAGACCATGATCTTGAATCTCAATTGAAAAATCATCTTAAAAATACTGCATTGAAACAGATGAGGGACAGAGTAATTTAAAAGTGATATATGATAGGGTATTATAGTTATTACAATAGTCCACAGTTAAGGGTGTATAGTGGAGTGTACCTGGGGCGGTGGGAGGGGTGCAGGGGGATTGTATACCAAAGAAAGAATTTTTCTTTTACTTTTTCAAAGAGAGGAGCAAACCTGGGGGTGGGGGGAGAAGGGCTGGGCAGGGAGAGAAGTGCAGCGATGAATGAATGGAAATCCAAAATCTCTGTAAATGTTCATTAAAATTATTAAAATAAAAAAAATAGATTTGAAGTGTTGAACACCATAAGATCCATGTTAGAGTCATATAGAGTGTCACCAGCTGTCCTAAATTTTAAGTAAAAACGTGGTTGTTACTGTTCAGTGCTGTTGAGTCGGCTACAACTTTTAGGGTCTCAGTGAATGAGAAGCACATTGGAACCATGTCCTGCACCATCCTCAGGACCGCCAGGCTCTATTCTGCTGTTGCTGTCATTATGTTGGTCCGTCTCACTCGGGTTTCCTGTTGTTTTCCATATTGCTGTTATTGTTAGGTGCTGCTGAATTGAGTCTGACTTGCAGTGCCCCTTTGTATAACACATCTGAGCCCTGTCCTGTCTTGTGCCATCTTCACAATCTCTGACACACTCATGCCCACTGCTACAGTGTCTCACCTTGTGTCTACAGCCCTCTTCACTTGGAGAAAGCATGTTTATGTCATCCACACAATGAAAGTTATTGATGAGTCTTCCTCCATTCCTGATGATACATTCTTCTTCTCGAATAATTTGCGCAGCATGCAGATTAAATAGATATGGAGAGAGGATACAACCCTGATGCACTTTTCCTGATTTTAAACCACGCAGTGTTCCCTTACTCTGTTCGTATAACAGCCTCTTGGACTAAGGTGTAGGTTTCACAGGAACAAAATAAAGTGTTCTGGGATTCCCATTCTTCTTAATATTAGCCATATATAATCCACACCGTCAAATGCCTTTTTCCATGACCACCTACTTTTTTAAAAAAATTTATTTATTTATTTATTTTTTTTACCTTCTACTTTTTTGAATAGAATGTTTTCTAAGGACTAATACCTCCTGACCTCATACTCAAGTCATGGGAGACGTTTCACCAGTATTGCCACTAAGGAACACCCTGGTTGTAATTCTCCAAGATAGATTTGTTTTTTCTTTTGGCAATCAGGGTATATTCAGTACTCTTCTCTAAACCACAATTCAAAGGCATCAGTCAGTTGGTCTTTACCATCCTCACTCACTTTCTAACTTTTACATGCGTGCCTGCACGCGAAACATTTGAAAATACTATGACCTGGCTCAGGTGCAACTTGGTCTTTAAACTTGACATTCTTACTTAGCATTTTCAAAATGTCCTTGTTAACAGATTTTTTCCAAAACATTTTTTTTAAAATTTTATTATTTTTTGTGCGTGTACTGTCAAATTGGATCTGACTAGTACAGGAGGAGACTGCCCTCCTTCTCCAGAAGAGCATCTGGTGGACTCAAACCACGTACCTCTGGAATTGCAGTGCAGCTTCTTGCCACTAGGCCACCAGAGCTCCCTGAGATTTTTCCAGAACATTTTAAAATGTTTTGACTGCTGCTACCATCAGCATTGGTTGTATATCAAGTGGAATGAAGTCATTGGCAACCTCAAGTGTCTGTGCCTGTCATCATATTGACTGTTGGTCTAATAGTGAGAATTTTTGTTTTATTGAAATAATCCATTTTGAAAGCTGTGCTCTTTGATCTTTTCCAATAAGTGCTTGGCAAATTCTTTACTCTTTGGAAGCTACCTTGTGTCATCTACATCTTGTAGATCATTAATAATTCTTCCTGTAATTCTGATGCCATGTTGTTGAGCTGTCCCAATTGTTTTTTTCCCGTATACAGATTGAATTGCTATGGAGAAAGTATATAACCTTGATGCACACCTTTTCTGAATTCTAACCATGCTCTGTCCCTTTTCTGGGTTCAGGTTTCATATATTCTGAAATTCTCATTCTTTTTAATGCTAACCATAATTTATCATGATCCACATAGCCAAATGCCGTCTTGTAGTCAGGAAGTCACAAGAGAGATGAGATGACCACTCCTATTTCTCAGGTCTGTTGTGGTGTCTCCTGTGCTGTATGATGCTCAAAGGTATGCCACTGGTGTTTGAAATACTGACAGAATCTCTCAGGTCGTGTGGGCTCCACATGCTTCCAAACAAAGAAGCAAGATGAAGAACACAGTAGTTGTTGTTGTTTTGTACCTTCGAGTCAACCACAGCTCATA